TATTTAAATATTCACAAAAACATGGTAGCTTACACATTGGCACTGCTTTTTCTAAGGGAAAATGCCAGATTTTCTGATTCTTTGCTATCCTTTGTCTAGACCATCTTTCTTTTTGTTGGTATGAAATGATAGTGAATCTCATTTTTGTTTAAAATCATAGCCTAAATGAAGAATTTTATTGGAATGTGAAGTATACATAAGTGTAAATGCGAAGTATGTAGCTTTTCCTTTTTATTACCATCGTTTATATTTAAACTCTTTACTAATGATCTAGGTATGTCTCATATGAGTAATTTGATTCAGCAAATGTTGATGAATCTTTACTGTGTGTATAGCAATGCAGTAGGAATAAACTGTGATTAAGGTGCATTGTCAAAGAGTGTATAATTTAATGTAAATTCATTAACTTTGAAGATAAACACAGAGAGCTGTGTGAATCCCAAGAAAGGAAATATTAATTCCATGATAGGGGCTTCATGACTTTTTTTTCATGACATTTTAAGTGGTGCTCAAAGTTTAGAGTCCAGTTTTAAGACGGATTTAATCTTCTACCTCATCAAACCTTTAGATTTGATACAAAATATTAAGCTATTAATTGATAACACACCAACAATTAACAAAGGGAACTTTTGGCAGGTTAGAAATTTTAAGGAAATAGACGAAAAGCTATAGCACTTTGCTAGGAAGATCTTGCCATATTACCAGAAAGTCAGTATAGCTGCTCTTCACCCAGAAGTTTCCATAGTCCAAAACATGTATAGGAGAATTCTGTATCAAAAAATGAGTACATATCTAAGAAACACCAAGCATCTAAAGTTGGCCTCTACTATAAAAAAGGAACAACGAATAGAGTTTACATTTTATTACAAATAGAAAGGACTTTATAATAAATGTATGTGTTCTTTAAGAGATAAAGGAAACAATTCAATTTGTGAAACAGTTACAGAAACTAGGAACCAAGAACATTTACTGAAAAAAAGCAAGAATCAGCTAAGAGTTTTAAGAGAAAAGAATGTAATTATTAAAATAAAGAACTAAATAAATGGATCATAGGAAACTGGACACACTGAACACTGAGTTAATCTCCCAGCATATGACACAAATAGATAAAAAGATTGAAAATATAAAAGAAATTTTAAAAGACAGACAAGATAGATTCAGATGTTCTAATATCTTATAATAGTATCAAAAGTAGAGAGTAAAGTTCTCAATTTGAAAGAACATACTAATTACCTTGCAAGGCAAAAGAAAAAAAAATCACAACATACAAACAACAACAACAAATAGCTAGAAATCTTATACTAAACTTTTAGGAGATGACTAATGATGAAATAGTGAGTAACATTTATTGAGCACTTCATAAGAGCCAGGTACTTTTCTAACGTATTTACATCTATTATCTCAATCCGTACTCTTGCCAGTCTTATAAAGTTTATCTAATTACTATCTTTACAGATTAGGAAATTGAGGTACAGAGAGGTTAAACAACCTGTCCTAGTTACATAGTAGTAACTAATTCAGCAGATTTGTGTCCATCAATCTGTGTCCAAAGCTTTATGTACCCTTAACCAACGTGCTAAGCTGCCTTTACTAAGCTCTGATGTCTTTATCAGTGTTGAGAAAATCTTAAAATGTGCCAGAGAAAAGACATATTACCTACAAAGAATAACAATTAGATTGGTATTAAACTTCTTAGCAGTGTGAATGCAAGAAAATAGTGGGACAGTGCCATCAAAGTGCTGAGAGGAAGGATTTTGAATTCTTTAAGTCACAAAACTACCAGTTGGGAGTAAGAATTAAACAAAGGATATAGTTGGCCCTCTGTATTTGTGGATTCTGCATCTACGGATTCAACCAACCATGGATTGAAAATATTTGAAAAAAAATTCCAGAAAGTTCCAAAAAGCAAAACTTAAATTTGCCATGCAACAGTACTGTTTACATAGCATTTACATTTTATTTATAACTATTTACATAGCATTTGCATTGTATTAGGTATTATAAGTAATCTAGAAATGATTTAAAGTATAAGGGAGGATGTGTGTAGGTTATATGCAAATACTATGCTACTTTAAATAAAGGACTTGAGCATCAGTGGATTTTGGTATCCAAGTAGGTCCTGGAACCAGTCCCCCCTGGATAGTGAGGGATGACTATACAGAATTTTGATAGACACGAAGAAAAAATTAGTAGTAGAGAAATAACATGAGTCTGAATAGTAGAGTGTTTTCACTGTATTGCAAGTAATCAAATTTAACTGCTTCGTGTGTGTGTGTGTGTATGTGTTTTCATCACAGGATAGATAAATAGTAAGCATTTAAACTGAAAAGTTATTTTGGAGCCATATCCTAGGAGACTTTGAATGCTGTATTGAGAGATTTATATTTAGTTATGTAAAGTATGGAGGACCATTTAAAGTTTTTAAGTAAACTGAAATCAATTATTATTTTTTACTTTTTTTTGCGGTACGCGGGCCTCTCACTGTTGCGGCCTCTCCCGTTGCGGAGCACAGGCTCCGGACACGCAGGCTCAGCGGCCATGGCTCACGGGCCTAGCCGCTCCGCGACATGTGGGATCTTTCCAGACCGGGGCACGAACCTGTGTCCCCTGCATCAGCAGGCGGACTCTAAACCACTGCGCCACCAGGAAAGCCCTGAAATCAGTTAATTTTTTAAGGTGGTTCTTTTTTAAAAATTTTTATTGGAGTATAGTTGTTTACAATGTTGTGTTAGTTTCAGGTGTACAGCAAAGTGAATCAGTTATACATATATCAACTCTTCTTTAGATTCTTTTTTTTAGGTCGTTACAGAGTATTGTGTAGAGTTCCCTGTGCTATACAGTAGGTCCTTATTAGTTATCTATTTTATATATTGTAGTGTGTATATGTCAATCCCAATCTCCCAATTTATCCCTTTCCCCCTGGTAACCCTAAGATTGTTTTCTACATCTGTGACTCTATTTCTGTTTTGTAGATAAGTTCATTTGTTCTATTAGTTTAGATTCCACGTATAAGCAATATCATATGATATTTGTCCTTCTCTGTCTGACTTACATCACTCAGTAGGACAATTTCTAGGTCTATCCATTGTTGCTGCAAATGGCATTATTTTGTTCTGTTTTATGGCTGAGTGATATTTCATTGTGTATATGTACCACATCTTCTTTATTCATTCCTCTGTCAATGGACATTTAGGTTGCTTCCATGTCCTGGCTATCGTAAATAGTGCTGCAATGAACATTGGGGTGCATGTATCTTTGCGAATTATGGTTTTCTCAGAGTATATGCCCAGAAGTAGGATTGCTGGATCATATGGTAGCTCTTAGTTTTTTTTTAAGAAACCTCCATACTGTTCTCCATAGAAGCTGTACCAATTTATCTTCCTACCAACAGTGTAGAAGGGACCCCTTTTCTCCACACCCTCTCCAGCATTTATTGTTTGTAGATTTTTTTGATGGTGACCGTTCTAACTAGTGTGAGGTGATCCCTCATTGTAGTTTTGATTTGTACTTTTCTAATAATTAGTGATGTTGAACATCTTTTCATGTGCTTTTTGGCCATCTGTATGTCTTCTTTGGATAAATGTCTGTTTAGATCTTCTACCCATTATTTTGATTGGGTTTTTTGTTTGTTTGTTTTGTTATTGAGCTGCATGAGCTGTTTGTATATTTTGGAGATTAATCCCTTGTCAGTTGCTTCATTTGCAAATACTTTCTCCCAGTCTGTGGGTTGTCTTTTCGTTTTGTTTATGGTTTCCTTTGCTGTGCAAAAGCTTTTAAGTTTAATTAGGTCCCATTTGTTTATTTTTGTTTTTATTTTCATTACTCTAGGAGGTGGATCAAAAAAGGATCTTGCTTCGATTTATGTCAGAGAGTGTTCTGCCTGTGTTTTCCTCTACGAGTTTTATAGTATCTGGCCTTTAGGTCTGCAAGATTAATGTTGATAGTAGTGTAAGTGACTGAGAAGAGAGAGAGGAATGGCAACTTGTTTTCAATGATCTCTCCACCTGTAGTTCTAATTTCATAAGTCTTCAAGAGATTTTTTTCCTCTGTATTAAAAAGACAAAAAAACAGAAAATCAGAGCCTCTTTTTTTCTAAAGACCAAGCTATCTTCTTAAGCCTTTTCCTTCTAAGTCTATTTAAATGATCATATAAGTTTAATTTGTTAATAATTAGAGAAACATAATAATAGCCAACATTTATGAAGCATTTTCTTTATTCAGAAAATGCTAAGCACTTTTTTATACATCATATAACCTTCACTGTACCCTGTGTGGCATGTATAGTTAATATTCCAATTTATAAATGAGAAAAGTGAAGCTTAAGGTGGTTAAGTAATTTGCCCAAATTATATAATTGGTGGTAGAAAGTCCAACTTGGCACTCGGTAGTCGCTCAACACTTGATCATTAGTTAAAGTTGTAAGTGTTTGATTTAAGACTCCATTCCAAGGAGCCCCATGAAGCCAACTATTAAGGAAACAACTAAAATACAGTGTATGTGTCTTATAAAGAAATATACCAGGTGCTATGGGAACACAAAAATGGTTGTCTTAAGTCACTTTGGGAAGAGGAAGGAGTGTCATGGAATGTTTCTTAATGGAGATAACAGACTACCTGGATCATGCTATATAAGTAAGAATTAATTGGGTAGATGAAAGGGTAATATGGCATCTTGGTCTTTTAATCAAATAAGACTCCTGGAGTTCCTCTAGACCACCAGGTATATGTAGGTCTCAAAAATGAAGAATGCTTGAGATCAAACTAAAATGTAATGATCCTTAGATATATGAAATGCTTAAGTGTTAAATATTATGCAACATTTAAAAAAATGTTACATCACCAATGATTTTTCTTTAGTGGAGCCAACTCAAAAAATCTAATAAAACCTCTGAAGAGAAATAGAGGTAACTGATAAAATCATTTTCAGCGCTGAAAAAACAAGACCTCCCTGTGAAGAATGATGTAAATGTTAACAAGAATTTCTTTTCTCATTTTATTTAGGGAAGAAAACTATTTCAGAGTTTGGATATTTCTGAAAGACTAAAATTTTTGCTTACACTGGGTAAGTGTCTCACAATTGATTATCTTTCAACTATAAATATAATCTTTAGTGACAGTGGTTATGCATATTGAGAACGTGTTCTTCAAAATAGTGGATACACTGAAATATCCTCACTTTCTTTAATTTTCTAATGATCAGGGGTAAGCATTAACAGGACAGTTTAAGAAGTGCCTTTGAAGTATTATAGGACAGCTTTCCTCATTCACTAAGGAATTATAATGTACATGGATATAATCTTAGCATGATCTAGCCAAGTAAACTAACTTGTGAAATCAAAATATGAGATTATAAAATTGTACTTCACTGTCGCAGTTGCCTTCAGGCAATGTATTGTAACTTTTCAGCTTTCTACTTGGTGAATTGTGTGAATAATGACTGAGGAAGAATGTTTATTTTTCCTTACAACAAGCTCATGTATTTTACATGTATATAATGCAAATATTTGTCATTCACATTTATAAAAATTTGTGTAATCCACTTTAGAGTGGAATAATTTAAGCACGTGTGGTAAAAAAGGAGAGAAAAACAGTGATAGAGCACTTTGTGTAAAAGTGACAGATTGGTGTCCAGGTTAATAGGGTCTACAAATAAGGATTTGTATAGAATAATATTAGTAAATATTAAATGATAATGAATTGTAAATAAAATTTTATAACATTTACCTCTTTAATGTCAAAGATTGATAATATAGCTGTTAAGGAGTCTTAGAGATCTATAAATGTTATCTACAGGTTAGAACTTATACTTTTTTTTTAAATTTTATTTAATTTTTTTTTTATACAGCAGGTTCTTCTTAGTCATCCATTTTATACCCATCAGTGTATACATGTCAATCCCAATCCCCCAATTCATCACACCACCACCACCACCCTCTGCTGCTTTCCCCCCTTGCTGTCCATACGTTTGTAGAACTTATACTTTAAATCCCAGAGAAACGTGCGTACATTCTTCAAATTGTATTTAATAAAAATAAATTAGTCTTATAATCGTAAAAATATACTAAAGCCTTTTTAAATAGTAATATGCGTATATACATATAGAGAGAGAGGGGGGAAGAGAGAAGGAGAGAATCTTTACCTCCTTGAATTACTGCTTTAACTCACTATTTAAGGTGCTTTCAGTATCTATGATACAATTAATACTTAGTGTTTGAAGTATTTATTTTTATCAAAGCATGTAAGGAAAGTTGAAAAAGTCTCAAGCTTTTTAATATTCCAAGTTCTAAAACTGAATTACATAATTAAAAAAATGTTATTAGAGTTCAATTCCCAGTTAGTATAAGTTAGAAAAGCAGCTTTAATTCATATAATTTTTCTGTTTTATAGACTGCATAGATGACACTATAATAGTTCTGGCTGAAGAGCATGGTTGTCTGGACATTATAAAGGTTTGTCGTTAATCTGTTATTGAAAATTTATTTATTCTGCATACTTGGGATTCAATAGCAAACTATTTTAAAGCTATGTTTACTTCTGTTTAGATATCTGCTTTTTGACAGAGTGACAAACTAATATGAATTTCTTTAAAGTCCAAATAAAAACTTTCAAAAAAAGTCAAAACATTGTAAAGTAGCAAACATTTAAGTAATATACATTTTTAAATGGATTTTTAAAAATAATTCTTTTCTCTCTCTATTTACCAGGAGCTTCCTGAAAATGTGATAGATCTTTTGAAGAAGTGCCTCACCTTCCACCCCTCTAAAAGGTTGATACCAAGAGTTTGGGATTATTACTGAGATCTTAGCATATAAGTAGTTAAGTTTTTAATACTAAAGGGTTAAATAAGAATATTAACATATATAGTAGTACATGATTGATATTGGTATCATAATTGTTAGTTATGGCTTTAATGTATGGTAATAAAAGAAGAAAAAAGAATTAACCATGGTTAGAAAACTGGCATATACCAAAAGCAGTTACTAGTTCATTTCCTAGCCTCCAATTAGAAAATCAGCTAAACTTTGGAATATAGATATGCCTAGATACAAATGATATGAGAAAAATGAAAACAAACGTTTATTGGCAAATATGTATTATAGAAAAGAACTTAGATAAATGGTGAGGTAAGTTAATAATTGTTGATAATATAAAAGGATTTCTTAGAAGTTTTATTATTTATTTTCATTTGATGATGTCATTGTTAGCCATCCAGTTGTCCCTAAACTCAGTAAGTATATAATATTTGAAAATAATATATTCTAATTTGTCTTTAGGAAAACATTTCCTAAAGAGAGGAATGGTATTAAAAGCATAGTTTTGTGTAAATATACCACATAAACTAAGAGAGTAGGAAGAAAATCAGAAGATTTTATCAGTTTACAATTTTATTATTTAATTAAGGTATTCAGTAAAGCAGGTATATGATGGTCAAGCTAAAAGTAAAAAATGGAGATGCTCATATGTAATAATTTTTTATCATAAAGTACAAAAAGCACAGCAAAGGTAAAAAAGTCAGCATTTATTTACAGTCACTTGATTCTCTTTTTAAAGGTATATATCTAGACTCTAATAAGGAGAACTTTATTATTTTCTATACTAATGAGGTAATTTTGACTTTTAACTATCCCTTGAAGTGTGCCATTATTCTAGGAAAATTTTAATGACTTTCATTCATGTTCCGTATTTTAAATATTTCTTAAGGCCAACCCCAGATGAATTAATGCAGGACAATGTATTCAGTGAAGTGTCACCTTTATACACTCCCTTTACCAAACCTACCAGCCTGTTTTCTTCTTCTCTGAGATGTGCCGATTTAACTCTGCCTGAGGATATCAGTCAGCTGTGTAAAGGTAATGATAAATACAACAAAGGATAGAAGTAATTCTGGAAGTGATTAAAATATAACCTAACATTTTAGTCCTTTAAATTTAATTTCTTTGGAGCAAGAAATTTAAGAATCAAGGAAAGGAAGTAGCACCAAACAAAAATTTTTTTATTATGTAAACCAAGGTCTTATTTTCATCTCAAATCTTAATGCTAAAATCAGATCTTCTAATTTCCAATGGAATTTCTACTACAACAATATTTGTATATCATATTTCATAAAATTTATTATAAATTATCTCAAAAAATCATATTATTGATAGGAAGTCCATATCATTATATTCCATGTTTGTAACAGAATATCACCTTTTCTCTTTTAATTCCTCTCTGAAGATTACAACTCTCAGAATGTGTGTTTTAGGGACACCAGTATGTTACCTTTATACTGAAAAATTACCACTACATAAGTTGTGGCAGGAAATACTTACTGAACATTGGTTCAATCAGATATTTATTGAGTTTCTACTATGTTCCATACACTGTATCTGCAAGTATCATTTTTGCCAAATGGGGAGGCAGACAGACATTCAGTCACACAATTACTGTTATAAATGAAGGTTAGTACGCACGTAGTAAGTGGAAGCAAAGCCTCCCTGAGATATAAAGAAGGACTTCTCAAAAGAGGCAGAAATTGCCTCAAGACATAAAGATGGGACAGTGTGTGTTGGTTGCCTACCCAAGTGCTTTTTTCTGCCCTTCTTTCTTTCCTGCAGAGCTTGATATATCTGATATGTATATCCCATATGTCTCTGATACAGAGGGTAAAAATTACACTTTTTTCTCAAAGAAACTGAATACACAACCAATATGTATGTCTGCATTTAATCCTCTGCATTTTGTAGTATGACTATTCTTTTTTATTTTTTAAATAAGCAAGAGAATTTGCTTATGAAGCTAGACTTGGATTACCACCAAATGAGCAGATTTCCTCCCCTCCCCTCCAGAATCTTAAAAATTTATGTATAGAGGCCTTAGTTGGGTTCAATTGTGTATTCAGTGCAGACAATCTCAACACCACACATCTATCTCAAGGCTGTATTCTTGGAGCAGCTTCTGGGAGTGGGGAAGGCAAGCTGAACGCACTTTCCAAGGACAGGGGAAGGTGTGGGAGCCTCCATTTGCCAGGGTCCAGCTTGACGTCAACTGGCTTTCATGTCTTTTTGATGACCTCCTTCAATAGGAGGAATACATAATGATGGGGTTCCAGGAAGGCCTCCCTAAGAAGTGCTACTCTGGCACACAGATTATTTTCAGCTAAAAATAAGCAAGGCCCAAAAGACTCATAAAGAACTTTTGGACTTTCCCCTAACTGTTTAAAAGAATTGAAGATGGAAGACCTGTTCCAGGAAAGAGTTATCACCCACAGATAATTACAGAAAATATGAACTCAGTGTGGTAAACAGGGAGGAACCTAGCAAGGCCCCTTTGATCAGAGTCCTCTCTGTGTAGTATGACTATTCTAAAGGGAATCTTATTATGTTCTTATTATGTATAAAAAAGTTTTTACTTTTTTATAATGTCAGCTATTATTGCCTGTTGCCTTTTAATAAAAACAGCAGGTGTGATAGCTTTTTAATTTTCCATTAATAGATTTAAGCAGTGATTACCTGGCAGAAAGATCTATTGAAGAAGTGTATTACCTTTGGTGTTTAGCTGGAGGTGACTTGGAAAAAGAGCTTGTGAACAAGGAAATCATTCGATCCAAACCACCTATCTGCACACTCCCCAAGTAAGGAAAGAAAACTTCTCTTGGAAATGAGAAAAATCTAGTAATAACTTCTTTTTAATTTGATATTTTTTTTCTTTTGGTAGACATTCCAAGTCAGTGATTATGAAAGCAATTGGGAGTCAATACCTTGTTTTCTTGGCAGGAGTTCCTAATTGCAGAGTTCCCATCAGTGTTTTTATTATTTTAATAAATATGGTTTTTAATAAATAATTTGTTTTATGATCTATTTGAAGTAATATTGAAGTTAATATTATGGAACATCTCACAATAGTTGGTGATCAATAAAAGAAAAAATGTACAAATCAGAAAGAACAGTAATGTTTAAGAGAGTTAATAAACTAGGCTAGTGTTCCCATTATGAGGAACTTTTTTTTTTACTTCTAATGATATTTTAAAATGTACTCAGTGACCTCAATGCTTGTGCTAGAGATCATCATGGTGCTAAATCACTGTTGAGTAAAATCTGCAGAACTACATAAGGTCTTGGACACCATCCTGTAAATTATCTAGAAGTTAAATAACAATACAACCCTAAGGGCCAAAATTGTCACTGTTCCATTGCTCTTCGTATTTATTCATAAAGAAGAGAACCTGAATCTCTTTCCACCAGTGCCTTAAAGTTTTAATTTTAGATTTTAGAACTAGATTTGATCTTTGTAGGTAACTGTAGAATTCATCTGCTGATCATTTTTTTCTTCACATGTAAATTTTAGGTTAATTATTTGAATACACCACTAGCTCTCTACATTTTTCCCCTCTTAAGCTGATTTTTAAATATTACTTTAATTATACTGTTCACACAATGAATTAAGTAGAAAATTAGGAAATAAGATGATGGAAATTATAAGAATAAATGGTTTGAAGGATATAAAAATTCTCAAAAGTAATTCTCTAAAATTCTAAATGCATCAGTATTCTTTCTCCTGAGGAGTTATCATCATTAGCATCTTTCTTTCTTGTTCCCTTTATCATTTTTTACTCATATAAACTTCCTCAGGAACACATTTACATACTGTCAGGAGAGTAATTTAATCATTGCACCTGCATGAGCAGAGAGTATAAATCATACTCTTGTATTACTAAAATGCTTTATATTTATATACTGTATTTATACCAATTCAACATATATTTAAAAATGAAAATTTTTTGGAGAAATTTCAACCAACAGTTACTTTTTTATTAACCCATTCAGTCTAAAATTTCTTTTTTTCTTTTGTTGAAGAGATTGATAATTTAGAATAAATTTTCTACAAGAAACAATCAATCAGATTTCTGTGCTCACTAAAATAATTAAAAATAATTTTTTTAATCTCCTTTCAGTTTTCTCTTTGAAGATGGTGAAAGCTTTGGACAAGGTCGAGATAGAAGCTCACTATTAGATGACACCACTGTGACATTGTCATTATGCCAGCTAAGAAATGTAAGAATGGTATTTTGGCAGATTTGCTTCAGAACTTTCTCCCTTCCTTCCTTCTGTTTTTTTTTAATAAAACCTTACAGATACACATGAATCCTTAAATTTCTGCCTGGTACTATAAAATATGTGAGAGTTTCTTTAAGGTATGTGCCCAGGAGTGGCATTGTTGGAAAATAGGATCTGTACATCATCAGCTTAGTATATGTTGTTATATTGTCTGTTCATACAAGTGGCCTTATCACTTTATCTTTTTACTATCGTTGGATAAGGGTTCTCATTTGTCCACATATGTGATAGCACATGGTCTTATCAAATTAAAAAAAATTATTGTTCTGAAAGGTGTAGAATGGTATTTTACTATAATACTAATTTTCAATTTCCTGATTTTAGTACAGTTATGAGCCTTTTCATATTTTTTGCCATTTGCTTACCTCTCTGTACATTACTAGTTCATATCTCTTGCCAGTTTTTTTGCGTGATTTCTTACTGATTTGAGGACTTTTAAAAATGTATTCATTTACACAACCTTTGTTGGGTATACAGGCATACCTCAATTATCACACTTAGCTTTATTGCACTTCAGAGATATTGCATTTTTTACAAATTGAAGGTTTGTGGAAACCATGCATCAGGCAAGTCTCTTGGCACCATCTTCCCAACAGCATTTGCTCACTTTGTGTCTCTGTGTCACATTTTGGTAATTCTTGCAGTATTTCAAACTTTTTCATTATTATTATATTTGTTATGGTAATCTGTGATTAGTGATTTTTATGTTACTGCTGTAATCATTTTGGGGCACCACGAGCTATGCCCACATAAGATGGTGAACTTAATCTGTAAATGTATGTTCTGACCATTCCACCAACTGACTGTTCCATCTCTCTCCCTCTTCCCCGGCCTCCCTATTCTCTGAGATACAACAGTGTTGAAACTAGGCCAGTTAATAACCCTACAGTGGCCTCTAAGTGTTAAAGTGAAAGGAAGAGTTTCTCATCTCTCACTTTAAATCAAAAGTTAGAAATGATTAAGCTTATTATTGATGAAGGTGTGTCAAAACGTGAGATAGTCCAAAAGCTAGGCCTTTCACACCAAACAGCCAAGTTGTGAATGCAAAGAAAAAATACTTAAAGGAAATTAAAAGTGCTACTCCAGTGAACAGTGATCTTGATAGAAGATGAAACCAGCCACAACATTCCCTTAAGCCAAAGCCTAATCCAGAGCAAGGTCCTAACTCTCTTCAATTCTGTGAAGACTGAGAAGAGTGAGGAAGCTGCAGAAGAAAAATTTGAGGCTAACAGCGCTTGATTCATGAGTTATAAGAAAAGAAGCCATCTCTAGAACATAACAGTGCAAGATGAAGTCAGCAAGTACTGATGTAGAATCTGCAGGAAGTTATCCAGAAGATGTAACTAACATAAGTAATGAATGTGGCTACACCAAACAACAGATTTTCCATGTAGATGAAACAGCCTTCTATTGGAAGAAGATGCCATCTAGACTTTCATAGCTAGAGAGGAGAAGTCAATGCCTGGCTTCAAAGTACAGACTGAGTCTCTTGTTTGGGGCTAATGCTGCAGCTGGTGACTTTAAGTTGAAGCCAATGCTAATTTACCATTTTGAAAATTTTAAGACCTTTAAGAATGATGCTCAGTCTATTCTGCATATGCTCTATCAGTGGAACAATAAAGCCTGTATGACAGTACATCTGTTTACAGCATGGTTTATTGAATATTTTAAGCCCACTATTGAGACCCACTGCTCAGAAAAATGATTCCTTTCAAAATGTTACTGCTCACTGACAATGCACCAGGTTACCCAAGAGCTCTGATGGAGATGTACAACAAGACTAATGTTGTTTTCATGCCTGCTAACATCCATTCTGCTGCCCTCAGATCAAGTCATTTTGACTTTCAAGTTTTATCCTTTAAGAAATAAGTAAGGCTATAACTGCCATAGATAGCAGTTTATCTGATGGATCTGAGAAAAGTCAACTGAAAACCTTCTGGAAAGGATTCACCATTCTAGATGTCATTAAGAACGTTCATGATTCATGGGAAGAAGTCAAAATATCAACATTAACAGGAATTTAGAAGAAGTTGAATCCCCAACCCTCGTGGAAGATTTTGAGAGGTTCAAAAATTCAGGGCAGGAAGGAACTGCAGATGTGTTGGAAATTGCAAGAGAACCAAAATTAGAAGTGGAGCCTGAAGATGTGATGGAACTGCTGCAATCTCATGATCAAACTTTAAATGATGGGTAAGGATTTGCTTGCTATGGATGAGCAAAGAGAGTGGTTTCTTCAGATGGAATCTACTCCTGGTGATGATGCCGTGAAGATGTTGAAATGACAACAGAGGATTTAGAATATTACTTAAACTTAGTTGATAAAGCAAGCAGCAGGTTTTGAGAGCATTGACTCCAATTTTGAAAGAAATTCTGCTGTGGGTAAAATGCTATCAAACAGCGTTGCCTGCTACAGAGAAAACATTCATCAGAGGATGTGTCAACTGATGGGGCTGTCTTCATTGCTGTCCTATTTTAAGGAGTTGCCAGGGCCACCCAACCTTCTGCAACCAGGAGCCTGGTCAGTCAGCAAGCCCTCAGCATCGAGGCAAGACTCCCCCCCAGCAAAAAGGTTATGACTTGCTGAAAGCTCAGGTGCCAGTTAGCAGTTTTTTTTAGCAATAAAGTATTTTTAATTAAGGTTTGTGTATGGTCTTTTTTTTTTTCTACATAATGCTATTGCACAATTAATAGACTACAGTATAGTATAAGTAGCTTTCATATATACTGGAAAACCAAATAATTTGTGTGACTTGCTTTATTGTGATATTTGCTTTATTATGGTCGTCTGGAACCAAGCCCACGGTATCTTTGAGGTATGCCTGTATGTGGTGCGTTTATGTTCTCATCTGTGGCTTTTCCTTTAACTTTTTGATGGTGTCTTTTAATGAATAGAGTTCTTAATTTTATCAATGCTTTTCTTTATAGTCAAATATGTTTTGATATATTTTGCTTATTGTAACATTTAAATTTAATGTTAACATTTACCAAGGTTACAAATATATTTTTATGAAGTTCTTCTGTATTTTCTTCTAAAAGATTTAGACCTTTTTTTCCACATTTTGTCCATTAATTCACCTGTATTTTTTTTTTTTTTTAGTAAGATGTGAGGTAGGTATCCAAAATCACATTTCATTCACAAGAAATAATCCCTTGTCTCAGCACTACATATTGAATAATTCACTCTTTGGTTTTTTGATCTGTAATGTCAGCTCTTTCATGTATGTGTGGATATGTTTCTGAGCTTTCTATTCTGATCTTTGACCTATTGGTATAACCTTAGCCAATAACACACTATATTAATACATGGTTTTATATGAGGTCTTGATGCCTAGCAGGGGAGATGCCCAGTTTGTTCTTTAACGTGAACTCTCTAACATGGAGCTCTTCTATTTGATTTTTATAATCATCTTGTCATTTCATTTTAAAAGTATAGGATTTTGATTAGAATTGCATTGAATTTGTAGAGAATTGATATCTTCAACATATGAGTCCTATTTCTTGAACATGGTGTAGATATACCATTTATTTAGGTCCTATTTTATATCAAAATTTCCTTTTTAGTGTCTATATATGTTATCAGATTTATTCCTAAGATATTAAATTGTTGGTCTTATAAATAGGATGTGTGTATGTGTATATATGATGTTTCTTACTCTGAAGTTTGTTTTGTTTGAAATTAATATAGCTATTCCAGTTCTCTTTTAATTAATGTTTCTATGGTATATCTTTATCCCTTTGCTTTTAATGTATCTATGTCTTTATGTTTAAAGTGGGTTTCTTTTAGACAACATAGAGTTGGATCTTTCTTTACTTTTTTTTTAAAATAAATTTATTTATTTATTTATTTTTGGCTACATTGGGTCTTCATTGCTGCACACAAGCTTTCTCTAGTTGCGGCTAGCAGGGGCTACTCTTTGTTGCGGTGCGCGAGCTTCTTGTCGCGGCGGCTTGTCTTGTTGCGGAGGCTTCTCTTGTTGCGGAGCATGGGCTCTAGGCACACAGGCTTCAGTAGTTGTGGTGCACAGGCTCAGTAGTTGTGGCTTGTGGGCTCTAGAGTGCAGGCTCAGTAGTTGTGGCACACGGGCTTAGTTGCTCCGTGGCATGTGGGATTCTTAACCCCTGCACCACCATCTTCTTTACTTTGAGGTGTAATTTTGCTGGATACAGAATTCTAGTTTGGTTGTTTTTATCTTTCAGTACTTTAGACATTTCACCTCACTCTCTTTTTTGCTTACGTGCTTTCTGGAGACCCGTCTGATGTAATTTTTATCCTTTTTAATCATAGTTATTTATATAAAATTCCTGGTCTGATAATTCCAAAATGTCTACCATATGTGAATCTGGTTCTGAATGTCTTTCTTTTACATTTTAGCAGGTCTTAACAATTTTTTTTTGAAAACCCAACATGATATATTAGTAAGAAGAACAATCATAAATAGACCTTTAGTGCAAGATTTCATGTTTATCTAGTTGTTGTGTAGCTTTTTTGTCAGAGGGTAAAGTTTTCTTAAGTGTCCTTGTTCTTATCTTCCTTACTGTCTTTGGGTTTCCCTGGAGAGTCTTCTATATAGGGTCTGAGGCTTGCAGTTCTTTCAGCTGGAATCCCCTGTATTATACAGGAACTCTATATATGGAGATAAGATGGGGAGGGAGATAAGGTTGGAGGGATAATCCTATCATTAGGTGTCAGTGTTTTAGTGAGCCTTTGTCTCTGGGCCTGAGCTTCTCAGCTTTCCTCCCCATTTCTTTAGGTGAGACAGGAAGGCTAGAGAGAGCTGGAATTGGGTATTTCTTATCCCCACATCAAAGACTAGAGGGGCCTAGAATCTCGTATTTCCCTTACCCCAGGTCATTTAGACTCTGGTAAAATAGTTTCCCTTGAGGGCAGGCCTTTACTTTTGACAACAGGGTACTCTGGGAGCAGTTTAAAAGTGGTTACTTTGCCCCTCCTCCTGCAAGAGACAAGAGGGGATTTTTCTTAGACTTTCACTCGGAAAACCTGTTGGGATTTATGGAGGTAAAACTCAAGGAAGTGTGGAGTTTCCCCTAGGGCTGGGCCTCCAGAAGTTTTTATCTCTCAGGTTAGTCCTTGCTAAATCTGCAACGATTAGTCAGTTACCCTTCAAATGTTCTTACCAGGCTCCAGCAGTAGCTTCTGCTCCACCTTAGCTGTGATTGTCTATATTTGCCTGTCTCTCCAGTTTTCCAGGGAGCATTTTTGCCCTGATCCTGATGGCCCTAAAAAGAGCTGTTGATTTTCAGTTTCTTCCATTTTTTTTCTTGCTGTTAGGGCAGGAGGGATAACTTCCAAGCTTTTGAGTGTTGGACTGGAAGCTAAAACTCCTAGCCTTTTTATTGTTGTCTATAGCCAAAGATAAAATAGATAATTTCCCTTGTTGTCTGTCTCTAGGCTAGCAGTTCAGAGCCCTCTCCCCACCCCACGGCCAGCACATACACACAGTTCTGTCTTTACTGGGGTGTAGCAGGGTCTCCTCCAATTTGGCTGCCCCTTTAATCAGGTGCCTGAGCCTATGTCCCATTGTGCTCTAAAACCCTAGGCCACAGTTATCAGTAAGTATACTTTAGTGCTAGCTTACCTCCTTTCTCTGTAAACCCAGCTTTGTGTCTTACGTCATTGCATTTTTGTTACTCTTTTAGGCTTTTCCTGTCATTTAATATTTTATACATTATACAATAGGGAGATATTAGAATCTCTTACCTGCTATAACGCCAGGAACAGAAAATTAAAATATATGATGATTACACCTGATACCCTCAACTTATCATCTCTTTGAAGAGAAAGAATGTGTACAGTGGACAAAATAAGTAGCAATACAAGGTGGTAAACAATAAAGTATATCCAAAACATATGGTTTCAACTGATTGTATTTAACTCTTAATTTGTTTCTTTAATTTAAATATAATCCAAATTATATGAATACAAGTTGAATGTAGGCTTCCATTTTATTTACTTCCTCAGTTCCCTTACATTTCCACTTCTGAAATTTAAAATACTTTTTTTCTATAATTATTCAGAAAAAATATTATTGTTGATTTTTAAAATAATGTAGAAAACAAATAATAATTTTTATCTTATACTTTTCTGTATAAGTATTTTTGCCTTTTTTAAACCCTTAATATGCTAAATTTTTAACTAGAAGAAAAGCAGACAAGTTACTAATAATATTTATGACTTTCAGGGCAGTAAAACCTAAGCTTTAAAAAAATATGTATGTTAATAATGCAGTAAAAATTGGGTAAAATCTTATTTTTCAACTTAAGAATTTTAATACGTGAAAGAAATACCTCAAGGTTTAAGGGCAAAATGGGATAAACGCATGTCAAATTTTAGAGAAAAGTTAGGCATAAATCCAATGTTTGCCAGATTCTCTGTGCTGGGTTTTCTTTGGCTTTTAAAAATTCTGGGAATAACTCACATGGATGAGTGCACAGTGACTCTAATCAGCAGAAGGTCGATGCTGGCTACACAGGGACTTCGATCTTCTGGGTCAGTCCCCAGAGGAGCAGACATGCTGCCCTCTAGTTGGAAGTTGAACTGAACAGCAGGGCAGCAGGCAGGGTGGCATTAACTTTAATCACCCTGCTTAGCATTTGTCTAAGATTTTACTTTACTACTGCCTACCTTCTTATGTTTTTGGAGAATATCTGTAATTCTGGCAATGTCATCATTTGCTGTAACATTTATTATAATGACTTTGTGAAAAAAATAAAAGAATTGAATTTTGTCAGTTGATTTATCAGCCGTTTGAATCATCTATGTTCAAAGTATGATGTGAGAAATTCTTTTGAATCCTTTTTATTAGCACCTTACTTTTGTCTTAGTTTGTATTAATGTCAAAACAAAAATAAATCTGACTTTGAGGGATATGTATGCAAAAGTACATTTTAAAATAATATTCATATAATTTTAAAATATCCATTTATTAAATTTCATACAAATTTTAGTATTTCTGAATTGTGTTTGGAAAACAATTATTATAGGTGTCTAACCTTTACAAGAGATACCTGGAGGTTAAAAAATCAAAAACCAAAAAAACGGTTCTTCACAGCCAGATTTAATCACTGGAGGCAAGGTATATTTGCATATTTATGTTAGGAATGAATTTTAGATTCTATCTTATACTTTTCTTGGTACCTTTATAAATTCATAATTTTAATGTTATTTTTCCTTTTAAATATGGATCAGCGTTTCTGTCTCAGATCCTAAATATCACAAATACTTTCTCTCTAAATTCACAGAGATTAAAAGATGTTGATGGAGAAGCATTTTACCCACTACTTGAAGATGAGTGAGTATATCATCTCCTTTTACACTTATTTTTCCTTTCTGTTTATATTATACTAGTAAGAAGCTTGTACATTTTCTTTGAAAAGTATTTCCTAAAAATAACACAAAAATATGGTGTTTTTAATTTTAAAAATTTTTATACCTTTTGTCAATTTTTCTGCTTTTGTTTCTTTTTTACAGTCAGTCTAATTTACCTCATTCAAACAGCAATAATGAGCTGTCTGCAGCTGCCACTCTCCCTTTAATCATCCGAGAGAGGGACACAGAGTACCAACTAAACAGAATCATTCTCTTTGACAGGCTGCTAAAGGTAGAGATTCTAAACTGTAAAGTGTTATAAAGAGCCCACATACAATCCTTATTTTTTATTTCATTGGTAATTCTTAGGGAATCTTGATGTCATGAGAACACTAATTCTTATGACCTATCTTTTCTGATTAACTTTAATTATAAAAATGATACCTGTTCATAGTACATAAAATTAAAAAGTAAACAAGATGCAGAAATCTATGCAAAATCATATTAGACAAAATATTAATATCCGTACTATTTAAAGAACACCTAAGGGGAGTTCCCTGGTGGTCGAGTTGGTAAGAATCCGCCTTCCAATGCAGGTGACATGGGTTCAATTCCTGGTCAAGGAGCTAAGATCCCACATGCTGCAGGGCAACTAAGCCTGCGCACTCTAGAGCCCGCGCACCACAACTAGAGAGCCTGCGTGCCACAGCTGCTGAGCCTGTGTGCTGTGGAGCCCGTGCCCTGCAACTGCTGAGCCCACGTGCTCTAGAGCCCGTGCACCACAACTAGGGAGAAGCCCATGTGTCACAACGAAAGATCCCTGCATGCCGCAATGACGATCCAGCGTGCCGCAACTAAGACCCAGTGCAGCCAAATAAGTAAATGAACACCTAAAAACCAAAAGATAAAGCACTATTATCGAAACAGAGAAATGGATAAAGAACGCAACAGGACTACAACTAGTCAGTAAATCAATTCAAAATGTGTATCCTTACTAGGAATGAAAAAAAATTAAAATAACTTTTTCTTGCATACTGAATTAGCAAAATGAATAAAGGTATATTGAGATTGGAACTCTCATTCTTTTTTTTTTTTTTTTTTGTGGTACGCGGGCCCCTCACTGTTGTGGCCTTTCCCGTTGTGGAGCACAGGCTCCGGACGTGCAGGCTCAGTGGCCATGGCCCACGGGCCCAGCCGCTCTGCAGCATGTGGGATCTTCCTGGACCAGGGCACAAACCCGTGTCCCCTGCATCGGCAGGTGGACTCTCAACCACTGCGCCACCAGGGAAGCCCCCAGAACTCTCACTCTTTTAGAGTAAGTGTAAGGTGCTAGAAACATTCTGTAAAACAATTGAAAATATGTATCAAGAGCATTAACAACATCCATACCCTTTGTCCTAGTAATTCTCTTCTAGAAATCTCTCCTAACATACAAATTTACAGAATGACAAATTTATGTGCAAAGATATAGAAGAAACCATAATAATAACATATTTGTTTAATACTTTCTATATCACCAGATATTTTACAAAGTGCCTTACATACATTATTTTACCCATATGAGACTGGTAATATTATTCTCATTATGAGTCTTTCTTAATTCTCCCAGAGCACATAATAGAGAGGAATGACTAAAAACAGTAGAATCAGCTCCTCTCTTTGATTGTGTAATAGGAGATTTACAGAAGATAGGGAACCATTGCACTGCTAATTTATATGTATTAATAACATCAAAGTAATTTCAGGTACTTAGAAATGTATTACAGTTCACCTTCAACTTTTTCACTGGTATATTGAGATCTGTCTAGACTAAAAAGATGACACTGGTAATTTGAGATATTTTTCATATCTTTTTTTATCTGTAGGCTTATCCATATAAAAAAAATCAAATCTGGAAAGAAGCAAGAGTTGATATTCCTCCTCTTATGAGAGGTTTCACCTGGGCTGCTCTTCTGGGAGTTGAGGTAAAAAAGAAAAGAGAAGGTTGGAAGCTGATTAATAGTGGTAGGAAAAAAGAATGAAAGTGCTTTCTGAATGTGTACTTTTCAAGTTGCTAGAAAATTATGTAGTAAAATATGAACATTAAGAATATTTGGCAATTTTAAGTGAACAGAATAGAGGAAAAGAATATAGACTAGATAGAATAGAAAAACATAATTGATGGTTTGTTAGATTTATTCTATTTAATGTATTTAATGGCCTCACAGAAATTATCTTGATTATTAATTTTAAAATCAAAATATTTTAAGAATATATGTATATCATTTATAAGTCTATAGTCCTGCTTATAAAGTATGTTCATCTTGGAATTGGATTGCCTATTTATAACTAATGCTATCTAAATTTGGAAAAATCTTCCATACTAATTTGAACCTTGTCAGAAATCATTAACATAATGATTTAGTGCCTTTTGGCACATCTGTCTTACCAGAAGCATGCTGCTAAGAGAAATAGCTACTTTATCTTCTACAACACCTTATCTGTGGCAGTGAGGAAAGGAAAAGTGTCACAAAATTAGTGGGGTGACTTGCAGTGCTATCAGAGAACAGCAGTCATGATAATGGGCCAAATCCTGCCAGATTATTTCATTTTCTGTAATTTCTTTGTCATTTTGCCTTCATGTATTTTCTTATAGATATCTTATGGATGTCCATCACCTATTTTTGTGTGTGTGAATTTCCCCAAATATTTTTAATCCTTTTAACTCTCTGTTGAAAGATTTCCTTCCTTCATTCCTGATTCCCTTGATGAGAATCTCTAAATATCTTTGACTTTGGTTGGTTGCTTTACAAGAATGTCTAGTGTTCTATCATACGGTAATAGTTAGAATTGTAGAACCATATAATGCTTAAAGTTCAAGAGGACTTCCAAGGTCAGGTTGTCCAAATCTTTCATTAAATAGATGTGCCAGAGAAGTTGGCACAGCACAGAGTTTGAACCCCAAATTCCTGGCTGTTTCTCTACCATTACGGTTAACCAGACTAATAAGAAGTGTTCCATGCTTGGGACACTGACCAGACATTTGAAGTGGTTTATTCAGTTATTCTTTCTGTACTGGTATAACTGAAAAATGTAAATGACCCCTTTAGTCCCTTAATGATTTTATAACTACATGATATTCCACTCTTTAATTCATCCCAAACTTCTGCTTCCTGGTGCTGAACTACCACTGCTTTAAAGTTTCACTTTACTTTTGCTTTCATTACCAACTTTAACAGGGAAATTTCTTGTGGATGAACCCTACTCCCCTCCCCGGAATTTAAAAAAAATTTCTTCATGAAATTTACTATGCGTGATATAACAGTGAATAGAGAACAGCAAGGCTGTGTTTTGTGTTGCTGTGGAGGCTGGGAGATTGGCTAAGCATGGTCGTTAGCCACATGACTCATTCAACACATTTGTCTTCCAGTGTGTCTAATTCAAATGTCTGCCTTAGCAAAATGGTAAATTGTCTCAGACTTTCATCACGGACTGTCAAAGATGTAGAAAATTTTTCTAAGGAGTATACTTTGGGTTTGAGTGTGCCTGTCTATAATTGGGTGTGTTTTCAAAGATAGATATTTATAAGTAGATTTTTCCTAAATTTATAATTTATTAAGGGTATGATAAAGTAATATATCTTCTCTTATTTTTTGCAGGGGGCTATTCATGCCAAGTATGATGCAATTGATAAAGATACTCCAATTCCTACAGATAGACAAGTATGATTTAGATTTTCTTAAACAACCTGAGATAAGTCTGCCCAATCTTTAAATTTTAAAAAGGCATGAGGAATTTTCTTCCTTTCATTATGAATACTGAGCAGCCATCATATGCATATGGTGTTAGAGAAGCATAACTCTTACCTCTTTAAGATCTGCTCTAACTCATTAGTGAGTTAGAACTGTTCCTTTTAGGAGTTTAGGCCAAGTAACTTTTTCTAATAATGTAGTTTTTTGTCTGAAGAATTTGTCCTTTATTTAGACCAGATTGTAAAGGAAGGTTTTTTTAAAACTAAATTAATACATACCTTTTCAAAAGAAGTAGTCTGCTTTCCTTGTTTAAGTATACTTACAACTTTTTGGTGTTTCCAGTGGATAAGTATAAAATTCAAAAACTTCAGACACCACAATTATGTAGGTTGCCTATTCGGAATTTCATAATACAATTTCTCCTTTTCCTTATCTTGGGATTTATTGGCAATCAGTCCATTATAGTTTTACCTTATTGTTTGGCTGTTTTACAGATTGAAGTGGATATTCCTCGTTGTCATCAGTATGATGAACTGCTGTCATCACCAGAAGGTCATGCAAAATTTAGGCGTGTATTAAAAGCCTGGGTCGTGTCTCATCCTGATCTTGTATATTGGCAAGGTAACTTTTTTTTCCCTATTACTAAGACACTTTTTGAAGTGTTAGGAACATGTTGCATGACTGACAATTTTTAAAATCAAAACAAAATATCAAAATATCTTTGGCTTTGAGAAAAGTCAATACTAAAGCTATGCTCCATTTTTTGAGAGGTTTACATGAGAACTTTTTTTTTAACTTTGTCTAAATGTCTAATGAATATCATTTAAATGCAAGACATTTAATGAGACAACTTGCCATCATGTTGATTAGTAAAGTATAAAGAATATTTTGTGCTATTGTAATCTTTGTGAATACACTTTTTCAATACTTATGCAAATAATAAAATAATTTTGTACCAGAAATAATTTGGGGCAAGTTTACATTCTTGGCATTTAATGATCTACAACTTATGCTTATCAGGGTTACTGGAATTGCGAAATAGGATATCACCCTGAACTTCTCATTTTTTTCTCTCTTTTTTAAAAAATATCTTTAATCCTCCATATCCTTGATTTGTAGCTTTCCTCATTACTGTTTTTGTGGTCATTGATAAATTCATGAATGAGAAATCCATTCCACCTAGTCTTATTTTTGAATTTGTTGTAGTAGTGCTTATATTTCAATTCTGTGTCTATTTCTGGCCAAACCTGAAAATGAAGCTATTATTTTTCCTAGCTCTGTTCATTTTAGAGTTCTAACAGTTACAGATAAATTTATATACATTCTTTTAACATGACAGTGTATGAATAGCATTGAAATATGTCATGTATTTGTATTTTACTTCACAATTTTTTTTTTTTGTTGTACGCGGGCCTGTCACTGTTGTGGCCTCTCCCGTTGCAGAGCACAGGCTCTGGCTGCACAGGCTCAGCAGCCATGGCTCACGGGCCCAGCCACTCCGCGGCATGTGGGATCTTCCCGGACCGGGGCACGAACCCACGTCCCCTGCATTGGCAGGTGGACTCTCAACCACTGCGCCACCAGGGAAGCCCTACAATTTTTTAAAGAATTTTTTTTCATCATCCCAGAGAAACATGTAAGAAAAATTTTCATCTCCTAGATAAGGAAACCTGTCTGGAGTTAAGTGATTGACAAGATCACACAGTCAGGGACTATATGCAAGCCTTCTATCATTTTTACATTTTTCTATTACTATATTTCTCTCTTCAACTCATAATAACCTTGATAATAATAATGGTTGGTTTATTTTGGACATTTACTATGTGCCAGTCACCATCAGTTATTCCTCACAATAACCCATGACGTAATATATTTCTGAATGGGTAATACGTACAATGCTTAATCTATATAGAAGTAATGCAGAGAACTCAATAAGGTATATATCTACAATTCTGTTGGATTAAGTTTATTTGAATTCTTTCCCCAACCTCTCTCCATCAGGTCTTGACTCACTTTGTGCTCCATTTCTCTATTTAAATTTCAATAATGAAGGTAAGCCTATTTATCATTTAAATAATTATTGTGCATATTATTTTAAAATATTTTAATCAAACGTGAAAGTTTTTTGTTTTCATTGAAAGGTTCTTGCTCTCTTCCTAGTAGATATTGTACATTTCTGTGAAATAATCTATTAGACTCATTTTAGAGGATGGGAAGGATTAGTTTATTACTGGAGAGTTTCAGCTGTGACTAGAGATTTAGGGAGAACCTGATAGATTATTCTAAATGCATTCATCTACTTTGGTGACTATTTTTATGAAACTTTGGAGAAAATTCTGACATTTTTAGAGATTAGTTTTAGTCTATATATACTTTCTGAACAATTTGTAAAGAAAACAATATTGATACTGTATCCTCCAGAGACTTTTATTTCAACCACTACCTCCTTTTATTTTTTAAGCCACTACCTTCTTAATGAAGACTTTTCTTACCCTCTTGAATCCATATAGCACTTCGTATTTCCAGAAATTTATCTTCTGTATGTTTCGTATTATAGTTATTTATATACTAATATAGTAACCCTTTTTTTGTTTAGCAGCTTTTTTAAATGACAAGGGTTTTTTTTTTGTTTTGTTTTCTGTTCCCTCATATAATGCCTTTTATAGTAGGTTTTTCAATAAATATTTGAATATTTATTGTGAATATCTCTAATGATATCACATATAGAGAGTGTTACCATATACAGCATAAATCCTTAGAAGCCTCAATCTCAGAATCTCCATTTCTTCAAATTCTATTTCATATCAGAATTTTCATAGATTTCTGGAATTTGAGTAGCAATAGCATAATCCCAGAGAACTAAAATTTCACTATTTGACTACTTTTTTAAATGCCTGTTCTCTGATTTTAGTCTTTAGACTAGGTTTTGTTGCATTTTGTTGAGCATAGCTCATTATCACACATACTGATCCAAAAATACTAAAGGATCTGTGTTTGAAAGAACAATTTATTGCTAGTGTTTCTAAATCCAAAGTTCTCAGGCTCTTTGCATCAACAAAAATTAGCGATCTTGAGGTTTATAAAGCTCATTAATAATGATTATGTTTAGAGATTTTAAAAATGCATAAAGTTCTGATAAAAAAGGTTTTTATTCTTGTAGGATAATGATTGCTGCAGTAGTTTGCTTTTTTGTTTGTTGTTTATTTTTGTTTTTTGGGTTTTTTTTTTTGTTTTGGGGGTTTTTTTTTTGCTGCTGCAGTAGTTTGAAACTGAAAAGTTTCTAAGGTGGTTATCTTCTGTTGTCCAAAACATTTTCTGTTTTAAATGGTACAGGGTTTTTCCCCTTAAATTTTGTGCTTCCATCAATTATTAACATAACTCTTGTTTAAAAATAGATTGAAAGAATGTGTGCTAAGTGAGTGAATGACTGCTGATCTTTTACCTCATTAACTAATTTGTTATATTTCCCTTACTCTTTCTTAGCCTTGGCTTATGCCTGTATGTCTGCTTTTATCCCCAAATACCTGTATAACTTCTTCTTGAAAGACAACTCGCATGTAATACAAGGTAAGAAAATGTGTTTCTTTGCCTTTTGATAGGGGAAGCACTTATGTCAAAAGTGACCAATACTCAGTTAAATTTATGATTTTGACCCAATAAAATATGGTGGCAGGGCTTCCCTGGTGCACAGTGGTTGAGAGTCCGCCTGCCAATGAAGGGGACATGGGTTCGTGCCCCGGTCCGGGAAGATCCCACATGCCGCGGAACGGCTGGGCCCGTGAGCCATGGCCGCTGGGCCTGCGCGCCCAGAGCCTGTGCTCTGCAATGGGAGAGGCCACAACAGTGAGAGGCCCGTGTACAGAAAAATATATATATATATGGTTACAATGTGTCACTAAAACACGTGAAAAGATCATTAAGTTTAGTCTCTTTTCCAAGTCCACAAAGAATTATGGTATTTTGCTAATGACTGTTTAATATCTAATCTCAGTTTGGTTCAAATTCAGGCATGCCAGTTTAAGAAAATAAAAGTCCAACTGTTTGTTTCTCTCACTATTAACATTGCCCACAAAAACCTTCACCATGGAGCAAGCCTATCATGAATTAGTAAAAAGTTTAAACAGTGTTTAATTGTGTAAGTAAATAGAATATTAAAAACACTTCTCATTCATCTTATTCATGCTTGATCACCCAAAATATCCTCCCACTTTCTTTTCTTTCCTAAAAGACGCCTCCTCCTTCAGAGTTCAAGGCGTAGCATAACCCATCTGTGAATTCTTTCAGGACTACTTCAGCCACATTCAAACTTTTATATAATTTTTTGAGCTCATTTTTGAAAGTAGTGTAACAGAAGTTTAATAATAAACACTTGTGAATCAGACAAACTGTTTCAAATTTAAGTTTCATTACTTATTGTGAGTCTTAAACAAATAACTTAAGTTGGCTAGGTATAATGTTCCTCATATCTGAAATAAAAATTGTTGTAAAGGTTAAGCATTATAAGATATGTAAATACCTAGCACATAAAAACATTCATTTCAATAACAATAATTATTACTATATTGTTATTTTTACTACTATTACTATTTTTATTATCATTATTACAATTTTTTGATAATGTAATTATTGTCATGGTATTATATATCATTTTATGTCTTATATTTTCAAGAAGATTTTAATGTTTTAAGGACAGGGAATTTTCTTGTAGTTTCGTATTTCTTTTGGAACAGACTACAAAGTTGGTTGCAGTCTCCCCATTTACCATTTTTATGAAACTTATCCAACACCCCCTTCATTTAGACTTTTTTACTTATATGTATATCCTATTAATCTATTAAACTTTAAACAACTTAAAGCTGATGCTGTTTATTTATACCTGTGTCATTATGGTTTCATATAATTCACTCAATTTGAATAGATAAAGCAGGAAAACTACAAGCTGTGTCTGATTTATCAAAAATTCTGAGTAAGTGGTGTCTCAATTAGCAATATTTTTACTTAGTTAGAAATGAGTATAAAACTAGAGTACCAGAGGTCAATATAATGAAAAAAATAATTAGAAAGGAAGCAGAAAGGGAAATGTAAATTAAAAAGATAAAGAGACTGAAAATAAGAGGAAAAGAATATGGATAAATAACACAACACATACAATTTTTCCATCATCATTTACATTAGTATATAGAGAAAAATATTAAAATTCTTTTTAAAAACTTAGTGTTTGTGTTTACAAACACATCGAGGCATGTGATCATTCACGGTTCTCTGTGTCTACCACATAGATGGGTGCTAGAAATTGAAGTAATGATCCATTGTCTCTATGTTAGTTTTGAAATGTAATTTCTATTGATTTGTATTTGTATATTGAAATGATTTGGCCTAAAATGGATATATCCAAGTCCCTGTACATTCCTAGGATGTGGACTTATATATAGTTGGGATTAACTTAAGAATATTTTTTTTAGAGGGCAACAACTTTTTGTTTTGATTTCTTATAATTAAGAACAAGTATATTTTATAGGAAGGAAATTACCTTTTGCTTGTAGGTTAATTTAGTAAAGCCATCCAACTTCAAGAGTTATGTAATATCATCTTCCAAGAATTTATGAATTGGTGTTCTGTAAGTGTATACCTTGTATCTTAATAAGGATATGTTCCATACTTATTCATAGATTTCTTACTATCCTTTATCAGTAATGTTTATTATAGAGTTGACAGTGTACTCTAAGATTCCATAATACCAAAAGGAGCAGATTTAATAATACCTTGGATGATACCAGGAGATTTCAGGGGCTATTCATTGCAAAATATGTCAAACAGTCATCAAAGACAAACTGACAAAATTAAACGTAGAAAATAGTCAGGTTAGTATTTGTGCAACACAAAAGGTGATTCCTTTATCCTCAGTTAAACATAAGACAGCAGTATAATGCTGTTATTTTTAAAGCTAACATGAGGAGAGGAACCAAGATGGCGGAGTAGAAGGACATGCTCTCACTCCCTCTTGTGAGAACACCAGAATCACAACTAGTTGCTGGGCAGTCATCAACAGGAAGACACTGGAACTCACCAAAAAAGATACCCCACATCCAAAGACAAAGGAGAAGCCACAGTGAGACGGTAGGAGGGGCGCAGTCACAGTAAAATCAAATCCCATAACTGCTGGGTGAGTGACTCACAGGCTGGAGAACACTTATACTACAAAAGTCCACCCACTGGAGTGAAGGTTCGGAGCCCCACCCAACCTGGGGGTCTGGCAACGGGAGGAGAAATTCCTAGAGAATCAGACTTTGAAGGCTAGTGGGATTTGACTGCAGGACTTGGACAGGACTGGCGGAAACAGAGACTCCACTCTTGGAGGGCACACACAAAGTAGTGTGTGCATTGGGACCCAGGGGAATGATCAGTGACCCCAGGGGAGACAGAGCCAGGCCTACCTGCTAGTGTTGGAGGGTCTCCTGCAGAGGCGGGGTGTGCCTGTGGCTAACCTTGGGGACAAGGAGACTGTCAGCAGAGGTTCTGGGAAGTACTTCTTGGCATGAGCCCTCCCAGAGTCTGTCATTAGCCCCACCAAAGAGCCCAGGTAGGCTCCAGTGTTGGGTTGCCTCAGGCCAAACAACCAACTAGGAGGGAACCCAGCCCCACCCATCAACAGTTAAGCAGATTAAAGTTTTGCTGAGCTCTCCCCACCAGAGCAGCAGTCAGCTCTACCCACCACCAGTCCCTCCCATCAGGAAACTTACACAAGCCTCTTAGCCTCATCCACCAGAGGGCAGATAGCAGAAGCAAGAAGAAGTACAATCCTGCAGCCTGTGGAACAAAAACCACATTCATAGAAAAATAGACAAGATGAAAAGGCAGAGGGCTATGTACCAGATGAAGGAACAAGATCAAACCCCAGAAAAACAACTAAATGAAGTGGAGATAGGCAACCTTCCAGAAGAAGAATTCAGGATAATGATAGTGAAGATGATCCAGGACCTCGGAAAAAGAATGGAGGCAAAGATCGAGAAGATGCAAGAAATGTTTAACAAAAACCTAGAAGAATTAAAGAACAAACAAACAGATGAACAAAACAATAACTGAAATGAAAACTACACTACAAGGAATCAATAGCAGAATAACTGAGGCAGAAGAGCGGATAAGTGACCTGGAAGACAGAATGGTGGAATTCACTGCTGTGGAACAGAATGAAGAAAAAAGAATGAAAAGAAATAAAGACAGCCTAAGAGACCTCTGGAACAACATTAAACGCAACAGCATTCTCATTATAGGGGTCCCAGAAGGAAAAGAGAGAGAGAAAGGACCCGAGAAAATATTTGAAGCGATTAGAGTCAAAAACTTCCCTAACATGGGAAAGGAAATAGCCACCCAAGTCCAGGAAGCACAGAGAGTCCCATACAGGATAAACCCAAACAGAAACATAACGAGACACATAGTAATCAAATTAGCAAAAATTAAAGCAAAAGAAAAGTTATTGAAAGCAGCAAGGGAAAAATGACAAATAACATACAAGCGAACTCCCATAAGGTTAACAGCTGATTTCTCAGCAGAAACTCTACCAGCCAGAAGGGAGTGGCATGATATACTTAAAAGTGATGAAAGGGAAGAACCTACAACCAGATTACTCTACCCTGCAAGGATCTCATTCAGCTTTGATGGAGAAATCAAAAGCTTTACAGACAAGCAAAAGCTAAGAGAATTCAGCACCACCAAACCAGCTCTACAACAAATACTAAAGAAACTTCTCTAAGTGGGAAACACAAGAGAAGAAAAGGACCTACAAAAACAAAAACAAAACAATTAAGAAAATTGTCATAGGAACATACATATCGTTAATTACCTTAAACATGAATGGATTAAACGCTCCAACCAAAAGACACAGGCTTACTGAATGGATACAAAACAAGACCCATCTATATGCTGTCTACAAGAGACCCACTTCAGACCTAGGGACACATACAGGTGAAAGTGAAGGGATGGAAAAAGATATTCTATGCAAAAGGAAATCAAAAGAAGTGGGGAGTAGCCTTACTCTTAACAGATAAAATAGACTTTGAAATGAAGACTGTTACAAGACATAAGGAAGGACACTACATAATGATCAAGGGATCAATCAAAGAAGAAGATATAACAATTATAAATATATATGCACCCAACATAGGAGCACCTCAATACATAGGCAAATGCTAACAGCTGTAAAACAGGAAATTGACAGTAACACAATAATAGTGGGGGGCTTTAACACCTCACACCAATGGACAGATTATGCAGACAGAAAGTAATAAGGAAACACAATTTTTAAATGACACAATTGACCACATAGATTTAATTGATATTTATAGGACATTCCATCCAAAAACAGCAGATTATACTTTCTTCTCAAGTGCACATGGAACATTCTCCAGGATAGATCACATCTTGGGTCACAGATCAAGCCTCAGTAAATTTAATAAAATTGAAATCATACCAAGCACCTTTTCTGACCACAACACTATGAGATTAGAAATGAATTACAGGGAAAAAAATGTAAAAAACACAAACACATGGAGGCTAAACAACACGTTACT